AAATACTTTGAGTTGCCTCATCCCTGAAGTGGTGTTGGATGGTTATTGCAACTGTGGAGTACCACCTAGACCAATACAAGCCGCCATCACAACAATATATCTTTGCAGAGTATTTTATATTTCTGTGAGACCATAATTTAGACAGGTGACAAAATCATTTTGTGACAAAGGCTAACCTGGGCAATAAATGCCTGCAGAAGTCAGATGTGTCAGCCAAAAGGGGCAAATATCACAGCCATTTTATAAACAGGCACAACGCATTTACATCCAATGCTGAATGAATGCAGAAGAAGATTTAGATATAGAACCACAAAAGAGAAAAACAACATAATGTACCTAGAATAAAACACAAATAAAGTAGAAACCTGACATCTAAGATCACTAATGTATAATAATAGAAGCAAGTTCTATATCACAAAACAGAAAACTATTATATGAAGTCAACAAGACATAAATTACTAACCTGGGATCATAATGAAATGAAACATTTTTGAATTCTATCATTCCACCTTGGATATCAATTGGCTTGGCCCCTGGTACATCTTTCACCTGCATTAATTATAACAATAGCAGTTTCAGTGCCGACCTTTTGTTCTTGTTATAACAACAACAATAATAACGTCTTTTCTTTTTCTTCAACGTTCCTCCTTAAATCGGCAGCTGGCAAGTCATGTTGTGGTTTATAACTAGGCTGTGATATCTGCACAGTTTGGCCCAATACATCTAGTTAAAGCCAATCCTTAGTTACCATTTACGAGATGCTTGCTAAAGAGTGCTCAGTTGACAAGTGCAATTTTTACGAACATCCCTGCAGATTCATCAAGGCGCTAAGGAGTTTGTGCTTCGTGCGACACTCTCGGCAGGCGATTAACCATTCTTTGGAGAGAGACCAAGCTATATTGGATAAACCCAGCGCAATGAGGTCAATCCTCTCAACTTTAACCTTTAACCTGTTAGGGAACAATGGGTCTATTCTTCCTTCTCCCAAAAATGGGGACCAGAACCCACATGGAGAAGTTCATAACACATTACAATGTCTTGAGTTGAATCTTCTTCACATTTACTGGCTGTAAACTTCAATAGAAGGTTCTGGTTGTTCATACTCCTCTGGACTTTGATCTTGTTAAAAAACCTGAGTTTTGCATGAACATCCATTTTACAGCTCTGGATTATTTGTTTCCCTGCCTGCGTGTGTGTATGTGTTTGTGTGTGTGTGCCTGTGACTGTATGTGTGTGTGTCTGTATGTGTCTGGGTTGTATGCGTGTGTGTTTTAGAGCGTGTGTATGTATGTATGTATGTATGTATGTATGTATGTATGTATGTATGTATGTATGTATGTATGTATGTATGTATGTATGTATGTATGTATGTATGTATGTATGTATGTATGTATGTATGTATGTATGTATGTATGTATGTATGTATGTATGTGACTGTGCGCACATATTTTACCACCCATGCTTTTGTTTTTGACTTTCTATATATAATATGCTTATTATTACATAAATATAACATGCTTCATTGATGAAATACAACTCCTGTGCGAAAGATGGAAGTTTGGAAGGGCCGAATGTAAGACAGGCCTGCGTGCCTAATTTGTAACCCTTTGAAAATAAAGTTCGTTCGTTCGTTTGTATTATGACTTTTGATTCCTCGCTTCTCAGGCAGATGCACTACGACTTCAAAGAAAACATCCCTACTCAGTCAACTCTTCCGGCATGCTTGTAATGGGGGCCAGTGGGTCCATTCTTTTTAAGATGCAGGAAACTCTTTTAAAAAAAGCGACCAACCACAAATCTTTAAAAAAAAATATATTTAGAAAATACTATTCATAATATAGACTAAGAAATAAAAAATAAAACACGAAAACAAATAAGCAAACAAAAACCTCTTCACATTCCACCTTCACCTATTCACACAAACATAATTTAATGTATGACAATGACAAATGAACAGGTACCTCTACTTCCTCTTCTAGAAGCTCAAACATATTTTCCATGTCGATAAATGACTGCTGAATCATTCTGTACACAAGAGAGAAATGTAGGCATATCTTTAGATAACAGACGAAGCAAATTATTTCTTCTCAATTAATTCAACACAAGTGGAAGACAGATCATTTTTCTTCTTCATTGACTGTAAACTTCGGCAATAGTTATCGTTTTTCATCCATTTCTAGGCTCTACTCCTGTTCAAGAACTTGAGTGTTGCATGCACATTCGTTTTACAGACCTGACATGTATGTAGACTGTTGGTTCCATACCTCTCAGGCAGATGCACTCTTAGTTCAAAGAAAGCTACTAATTAGTTGATTCTTGTTTTCCCCATAATCGGGTTCTGGAACCCATACGAGAAGACAGATAATTAACTTGATGGCTACATTTCAATGAGATATGACATTCTTCAGAGCATGAACACCTCCAGGGTTTCGAATTTGATTTTCTAATCCCTGGTCCACTGTTAAGGTTTCTGCACCATACAGTAGTTTTGAATGTTGAATTAGGAATCGACATCACAGCATTCGGGACATCCCCATAAGCGCTCCATCCCCATCTCCAGCAGCACACGAAGAGTTAAAATTCCGATGGTACCAGTAACTATCTGATTGTATATGTCTTGAGTGTCGAGCGTCGGCCAAATTCCCTTGTAACTCCTCGCAGTGCCATTCTCCTCAGACCGTAATGATCTATCTGTGCCTCGGCACTGTTCACTCGCTTCCAAAGAACCCTCACCACATCCAGCCTGTCATACATCAGTTCACCACCAAGTGGTGCAGAACCGGTCAGTCTATCTGCCTGCTCATTTCCCAACACACTGGCATGACCTGGAGAAAATATCCAAAGGATGCTAACTACCCAGGACCTCTGAAGTAATGCTTGCCACTCTGCATGGAGCATGCCTGTCTTCACTTTTCTCAACATGCTTTTTGAGTCAGTTACAATGACGACATGTGTGTACAGCTGATTTTCAAGCCAGCGGAAGGCAGCAGTGACTGCCTCCACCTCAATTCTCAAACTAGACGTTGTGATTTCATCTGCCAGGCTTGGTTGCCCCAAGCGACATCCATTCCCCTTCACTATGAACCCCCATGCCCCTCAACACAGAGCCATCTGTATATACAATCACATCATTTGGGCGGGTATTGTCATGAAACATTTGTTGACTTTCTAATTCTGCAGCACCAGCTGGCCAGTCCTTAAACTCACGTTCCAAATGGATTAGAACCCAACACAAATCTTAAACCAGATCGTACAGTAGTTTTAAAAGGTTTGAATATGTCGCTCCCACGTAAAAACTGACTTTACATCTGGGTATAAATTTAAGCTTTGAAAAATAGTCTGGTAATTTCCATATGAATTCCAAAGTTATTAAACCAACAAATAGGTGATAAGTTTAAAAAACACGTCCTTTCATAGAAAAAAGACAGGGAGGACCGAGTGCTGTTCTGTGGTTCAGAGGTTAGTGAATGTGCTCCAGGGTTCGATTTTTGCAAAGGATGGCTTTTTAACCCCCCCCCCCCCTCCCAAAAAAAAAAAACCCCTAATCAACCCCCCCCCCCCCCCCCCCCCCCCAAAAAAAAAAACTGTTCCTGTGATTTTTGGACAGTAGTAGGAGAACTGATTGGGGTCTCATCACGTAATATTCCTGAAGACAGCAGTAGGTACACTGTATCTAACATCATTGTGGTGAAGGCACAGACAAAAAATAGTGAGAAAAAGGGAAAACTGTTAAAATCTATGATGACAACATACCTATAATAGGTTCCAAGCCAGTTCAGAGGGCCGTACAGCTGGGCAATGTAGGTCCCAAAAAGAACATAGTCTCCAACTGTTAGATGAAGATCATTAATTCCATGCACAACTGTCCAAGCACAAAGAAGGGAACCTGCCGCCAACCCAGCAGTATTCACAATGTTTTGTGCAAAATTCAGCAAGTTGAGACTAGCATTGGAGCTCCACTCAGCTTTCTACAAGCATATGAAAATAATGAATGATAGGTTGATGGTATACAAACAAAAATTTAAAAATAATTGAATACAGAGATGTATGGTATCTTCTTCTTCTTTCGATTCCCCGGCCGTAGACTCTGGCAGTTCTGGTTGTCTGTCCACTTCTGTAATTTAGTCTCGTTCCAGAACTTGAGTTTTGCATGCACAATTATTTTACAGATCTGGCTTACTTGAATGGAGACTGATGGTTCCTTGCTTCTCAGGCAGATGTACTCTTGTCTTTAAAAGGAAAACAAAACGTCCCCAATTACCAGATGCTTGTTAGGGGGCAATGGGTCTTTTCTTTTTATCCTACAATGAAGCCCTAGAAGATGCATAGGAAGATTTATGATACAAAAACTAACTACAATTTAAGGGACCAAAAGGAAATGACAATAAATGATTTAAAACAGCAAAATAGCAAAATTAGCAGGCTGAAAAAAAAATAAAATAAAAACTATGCAAGAAGTATATGGTCATTTAAAAAAAAAAATAACCAAAAAAAAAAAAAAAAAAAAAACACTAGCAAAAGAAAATAACTAGTCTTGAAGTAAGTGAGGTAAAGGATCTGTTTTCGTGCCTTGAGGTCTACTGGAAATTATGGTGCTAGCATAATATTTGTATAGCTCCCCGAATGGGTTCTGGGGCCTCATTGTGGGGAAAACAGGAACAGACTCGCTGCCTCCCCAACAAGCAAGCAAGTGGGAGTCGACTAATCGGAGACATCCTCGAAGTTGGAGTACATCTGCCTGAGAGGCAAGGAACCACAAGTCTGCATACAAATGAGCCAGATCTGTGAAACAGATGTGTATACAGCACTCAGGTTCTGGAATAAGACTAAAATCTTGAGGTGGATGAACACCCAGAGCTTTCCACTGAAATTTTAAGCCAGTGAACGCGGAGAAGGCGAAGATTTGTAAAGATCAACTGAAACGTAGTGGTCAGTATCATGCAAGCGCATTTACTTCCCAGAAACATCCAGGTAACTATTTTTAGTTGAGTTGATGAGAGAGGTCAGAGCCGTGGAGGCAATACAGAAGAAAAAAAAACTGCATAGGATAGAATGGAATAAAGGAATCAACTTTGAGCTCTATTTGGCATCTAAACAATAGAATAGGAGGATGAATGAATGAATGAGTGATCTCCTTGTGTGGTTTGTGGGCCCTACTGTTGGCGGAGGGGGGGGGGAGATGGGGGTAGACCCACTGCCCCAGCAATAACAAGCATGTCTTAACAGTCGACTAATCTCAGATTTTTCCTTCTACGCTGGAGTGTATCTGCTATGGAGGCAAGGAACCAACAGTCAGCATAAAAATAAGCCAGATCTGTAAAACGGTGTGCAAAGACAAACACCCAGAAGGGGGCAAACAAGCAGAAATTTTGTCAGAATTTATAGCTGGTAAAACAACAAATTCTAAGTTTTAATTTAAAATTGGTGATATGTCCTCAGAGAAGCAGCTGCCAAGTGGACAGGATGTTAGGTTCTCAATGTAGGAGACCTGGGTTCGAATCCCTGTTAAGATGATGGAAGTGTGTGTGGGTGCATGTGTGTGTGTGAGGAACAAAAAAAAAACAAAAAAACTATCCTGACTTTCATAGTTGCTGCAGATTTAGGGATTCTGACGCAAAGTCTACTGGATTTAATAGGGACAATATCGTGACAAGCATGAGTACTGTTTACAGATGTTATAAGAAACTAGAAAAACATTACCAATAAACAAAAAGGTACAGAAATAAGATTTAAAACAATAGTCAGCAGCGCCTGAAACACAAGATGAGAACCTGCATGATCACATTTAGCAGTTGACACAATACATTAAACAGAAACAAAGAATTATTTTCAACGAATTTACACAATTATCAAACCTGATACTCCAGAAGAGCTTTGTGGTAGCGATCTCTCTCCCAGTCAGAAGCCTCATAATATTTGACAGTCTCAAAGTTCAGCAATGAGTCAACCGCTTTTGTATTTGCCTCATTGTCTTTCAGGTTCATCTGTCGACGGAATTTTGTCCTCCATTCGGTAACAGTAATTGTTGCAACTTTTCACCATGAAGGACAAAAACAAAGTTAGTATTACAAGTGGGAAACATACACACATACTTATATCAGGTAGAACTTTGTCCCATTTTCAGTACAATAATTGTGGCAACTTTTCACAAAGAAGGACAAAAACAAAGTTAATGTTGCAAGCGGGAAACATACATACATACTTATATTAAGTAGAATTGTGTCCTTCTTTTAGTAACAATAATTGCTGCAACTTTTCACAATGAAAAAAAGTTAATGTCACAAGTAGGAAACATACATATCTAAAGTAGAATTTTGTCCTCCTTTCAGTAACAATAACTGCTGCAACTTTTCACAATGCAAAAAGTTAATGTTACAAGTAGGAAACATACATATCTAAAGAAGAATTTTGTCCTCCATTCAGTAACTATAACTGTTGAGATTTTCCCTCATGAATGACAAAAAAGACAGTGTTCACTGTGTGCATTCTATAATTTACAAGTGGGAAACACATACAGGAAGTAGAATACTGTCATAAAATCCATTAATTCTTTAGTATCTATGATAAAAGCAGCCTATATTTTTTCATTTCATTTGTTCTTGGTTTTATTTTCTTCTGCCTTTTATCCCCCAAATGGAACAAATGCCCTCAAGCTAAAAAGAAAATTCCAATAAACCAGCAGGCCAGGAAAAGACATTGCCAGCAGATGACCACACAATGAGAAATTGTGGTAATACCAAAGAAATATAAGAAGATTAAAAAAAACACAAAGAGGATTAGGCAACGAGATTTAAAAAAAAAAAAAGAGAATGACACTGGGTTATCATGCAAATGGCAGGACAACTTGGCAGGAATTAGTTGAGAGCCTATGCTCCAACAAGGAATAAAGGAAGAAAAAAGAGCTGCAGCCCCCCACCCCCCCCCCCCCCCAAATCTCCGAGTGTCATTTTTACATTTCTTCAATTCCCTTTCTACTTCCACTCTCCAGATTTCCTTCGGTCGTCACTAGGTATTCTGCAAACAAGTCAAAATTATGTCCATCTTCTTCCTTTGATAACATTTGCCAGTAATGAACATTTTGTTCTCCTTCGCAAAACTTCTTGTTCAGCCAAAGTATTCGCAGGAATCACCTTAGACGTTTATTTTTCAAAGTCTCAAGTTTATGTGCAATTCCTGCTGACATTTTCCAACACACACGCTGTTGAATAATATTCCTAAAATGATGCTCTTGTATAAACTGAGTTCTGTCTTCAAACTAAGTCTCTTTGGCTTCCATATGTTCTAAAGCATGACAAATGCTTGGTTTGCTTTGTTTATTCTTGAGGTTACACATAAGTGATGAAGACGATATTTTTGTTCTTTTTCCTAACTGCTTTACTTGTTATGTCAGATCTATGGTAGTCTGGTAGTCTTAGTTTCAGCTTCATAGCGAACGGGTCACCCCATCTTTGCTCCGCTCCTGTGCCAACAAAAAACACACAGAATGTTTATCACAGTCCCTTGTGAAAGATTGATAGACTGCTGTCTCAGCATATCTAGCATACAAATGCATTAAAGCATATGGTAGCCATCGGAAGTGCTAACACAAACAGTCCAACATTAGAAATGCAGTTCATCACTGATGGTAGCAGAAGTCACCAACAGATCAGCAGTTGCCCACGCGATCAATTTTAATCACATAGGGACACCACCAACATTACAACGACAGGCATCGCGCCATTTTCTGAATACAACGTGCACTTTAGACAATAGTAATTTCTTTTTTAAAGTTACAGATGTCATTCTTAAAACTGCATTTATATATTCTAAAATATTATATACACACACACTTTCTCCCAACTGCTTTACTTATTATGCCAGATCTATGGCTTAGGCATTGTGAAAACCCTTCATAATTATGAGGTACTAGGTTCAATTCCAGCTGTGGGTGATCTGACAGCAGACTGCCTCGCAATGGTTTCAACAGTGGTACAGAAAGCCAGTCATTGTCTGTGGCTTAAGTGATGCGAATGCACTTTGTAACGCCTGGGGTGCCAGCTTCTATCCCAGTTGCAGACGGTTTGTCTTGCATTGGTTGTAACAGTGGTACTAATAACTGACAGTTCAGTAAGCAACTACTACTGAATGTAAAATTTTCCTAGAAAAACTAATACAGCCAAAAAATATTGGTTCTACAACATCCTGTAAAGGGTACACAACAAAATTTTTTTAAAACAGAAAGCCAACCATTCAGAAAGCGACAAACTAGTTAATGTAAACACTGCGTAGTGAAATCACAAACAGCCAAAAACTGCTAGGGTTCATTCTGCAACATCATGTAAAGGATATGCAAATTAATTACAATATTATTTTTTAATTTCTTTATTAAAGAGGAAGATTCCTGAATGAAACAACACGTACAACAAACAATGTCAATTTTTTAAAGTTACAGATGTCATACTTAAAACTGCATTTATATTTTCTAAAATATTATATACACACACACTCAAATGCATTTATAATTTTTATTATGCATACAGACAAACAACAAAACAAGATGTCCCAAAATGTCATGACTGAAGATACATTTTAGAAGATATGGAGAACTTTACAGTAGACTGGTGTAATAAGAGCCTACAGGAACCAGAAATGTAATTTTATACTGCTGTCGTTACCTTGGTATTTTTCACAGAATTTATTAGTAGTTAAATGTAATTACACAATAAACTATTACTAAGTTTAATGAAACTGATGCCCGGCTCTCTAGCGTAGTTGGCTAAACCGGATTGCGCTGTGAGCGGGTGACGAACTCCTTGTGGTCCGGGTTCACTCCTGGGGTGGGCAGAAAAGCCACATTTTCTCCCAGATTTACGGTATTTACAATGGAATCAAGGCCGAAAGGTTGCGATATCCATAATACTGAGCCTAAGGGTTAACAACTCATGGCTTCTGGATACTAAAACAAACAAACAATGAAACTGATGCACATAATGAAACTGCTGCATAAGTCTTAGTACATCTTATAAACACATTGACTTAATAAAGTAACAATCCTGCATATAAATTGTCAGAGACAGATGCTGCAATTACAATGTTAAGACTTACCGAGATATAGGGCCATGCTGACAAAAACAATCAGTCCAAACAGATAATTGAAGACTGTCACAAAGTATACAACGGCAATAAGTATATCAGCAATAGTGGGCAGGATCTGGAACACCAGGTAGCTATATGGAAAACAAAATAATACAAATGCTTATTGTCAAAATACTTGCTAATATACAACAATCACTCTCAAGTGTGTATACAACTCTGAACTGTGTACATAACATGTACTGGAGTGTGAATGCAGAAGGCACTTTGGACTGTGTACATAACAGCGGAATGTGTACACAACAGGCTAAGGAGTCTGCACATAACAGGCACTCTGGAGTCTGCACACAACAGGCACTCTGGAGTGTGTAAAAACATGCAATCAGGAGAGTGTAAACAACATTTACTTGAGTGTGTACAAAACAGGCACTGTGGAGTCTACACAACAGGCACTCTGGATTCTGTACACAAAAGGCACACTGGAATTTGTACACAATTGGCACTCTGAGGTGTGTAAAAAGAAAGGGCTACCTTGGTACACCTTTCTGTTCTGTCTGGGTAAGGAATAAAAAACTGTAAGACTGTTGCTGTTGCAAAAGTAACATAAATACAACCATGCAATCAAACAGTGTGGAAGTGCATATCTGAAAGCTTCAACAATTACTCACCCAAGCAAACTGTTAATACTGTTTGTTCCTCTGTCAATTACACGAAGAACTTCCCCAGTTTTTCTTCCAAGATGCCATCGCAAAGACAGACTGAGAAGATAAATAACTATAACTGTTACAAGCATCAGAAAGCATGTATATGTATCTAGGCAAACGGGAAAGCTTGTGACAGTGGGTAATTATAGCATAAGTTCGTGTAAGAATGTAAAGAAAAGAATAACTCCCCCCCCCCCCCCCCCCAAAAAAAAAAAAAAAAAAAAAAAAAAAAAAAAAACTGGAGGTTAGTATCTCTAGCATATGTTCATGAAAGCATGTAAACAAAACAAAAAAACCAACACTGGAGCTTTGTAACTCTAGTATATGTTCATGTAAGCATGTAAACAATACCCCAAAAAACCACCTGAGGTAACTCCAGCATATGTTTATGTAAGCACGTAAACAATATTTTAAAAAACTGGAGGTGAGTAACTCTAGCATATATTCATGTAAGCATGTAAACAATACCCAAGCAAAACTAGAGGTGTACATATATTCATGTAAACAATACCTTAAAAAACTGGATTTAAGTTACTCTTACATATATTCATGTAAGCATATAAACAATATCCAAAAGACTGGAGGTGAGTAACACTAGTCTCTAGCTTACATTTGTAAGCTTGTAAACAATACCCCCCCCCCCCCACCCTTTTTTACACAAACACACACACACAAATTAGAGGTGAGTAACTAACATATATTCGTGTAAGCCTGTAAAGAATACCCAAAAAAACTGGAGGTAACTTGCATATATTTGTGAAAGCATGTAAACAATAGGTTAGTTGCGTATCCTTTACAGGACGTTTCAGAACCAACCCCAGCAGCCCCTGGCTGTTGTGTGGTTTCTCTAGGCAAATTTACATCCAGTAGTTTGCCATTGCTTTCTGGATGGTCGGCCCCCTGATACCACAGTCGAAATCAACCCAAGGCGCATGACCCGCAGCTGGGATCGAACCTGGCACCCCGGCATTACGAAGCATTTGCATCGACTTAGCCACAGAGCCAACATGTAAACAATACACATACAAAAACATGAGCTGAAAGACACCAACATTAACACAGATGCTTGATAAGGATCAACTGCAGACATACTCCTACTGAAGCAGACAGCAAAGGATGGACTGTCGCACTCAACAAAAGGTGACATTGGGGCAAGCTATAGCGAGATGTCCGAGGAAAACTAGACTCAGTGTAACAAAGTATCAATGCTTTTATGGAGACTATGTGGCAGAAGCTGCCACTCCTTTACAGGACTTAACAATCATAGCAGACGCTGTTTACCAAAACCAGCAAAACCGCTCTATAGTTTCTAGGAGGTGACAGTTGCCTACGATTATTTTTTAATATACTGTTATATTTATTACACACTTAGGACCCTTGAGCCCCCCCCCCCACCCCCACCCTTCACCCCACCCAAGCGTTTTGTGTGTGTGTCTGTCATGGTGCCCCTATTCACAGGACGCATGAATATAAGTCGATGTGAACGCTTCGTAATGCCGGGATGCCGGGTTCAATCCAGCTGCAGGTCATGCACCTTGCGTTGGTTTTGACAGTGGTATCAAGAGAGCCGACCGTCCAGAAAGCTATGGCAAACTACTGGATGTAAATTTGCCTAGAAAAACCACACAACAGTGAGGTGCTGTTGGGGTTGGTTCTGCAACGTCCTGTAAAGGATACGCAACTAACCTTTACCTTGAAATACTTTCATATATGTGCTGTGTGTCACTAACAGGTATAGTTAATTCACCTGCATTTATAAATCTTATAATATTACCTGTGCAGGTGTGAGAACAGCTTCAACTGAATGGCCAGTGTTGTGTATTGCTGAACCTTAATCCACAAGAAAGTCCTAAAGTTGTTTAGAAAACCTGTGGTACCTGTATTGTGGAAAAGACACATTTACTCATTCATTATATATATAAAACAGATTACATGCTGCATGGCTACATTACAAAAGATTCATCATCATCAACTTGTATCTTACAGATAATCAGTCTCAATAACCTACTTTACCGGTGTGGGACCTGAGGCTCCACTTTGAAGAACAAAGAATAGACCCACTGAACCCCCTTACAAGCTTGCCGTAGCAGGCAACTTATTAATGATGTTTCCTTCCAAGATTTGAGTTCACCCCACCTGGAACAGTAAAAGAAAGTCTTATTCTCCCGTCCTCTATATCATCTTGGTCTCCACCGCTGCCCTTAATGGAGGGCCTAGTGGAAACAGCGGTCTAAACAAAACCCTATATTTAATATCCCGTCTTCTACTTCATCTTTGTCTCGCTGATGTCGTATTTTTCAACACTTCCTCTAAGTGCACCCAAGGCATTCCCCTGTAATACTAACACCATTATTTAATAGTTTAGGAGATAGACTAATGTACTGTCTCAGACATTTTTAGATTTGTGGTTTCAAGAAAGATACCAGCGAAATATAATTTTTTAAAAATTACCTCTTCAAGGGAAGTATTAGAAAAAAGAAATTCACGGGATATAACACCAGTGAAAGTTTACTTTTACTGTGGCAATAAATAAAGAAATGCACAATAATCTGGACTCCAGTGTGACTGTTAAATTGAATACTGTAGACATAGTGGCAAATGAAAATTTAACCCGTGTAATGGTCACAGTTTGGGAGGAGTTTATACTTCATTTATTATGACCTCCGTGTGGGTTCCGGGGCCCTATTGTGGGGAAAACAAGAATAGACCCACTGCCTCCCCAAAAGCATGTTGTAAGAGTCGACTAACTGGGGAGCTTCCTTTGAAGTCGGAGTGCATCTGCCTGAGAGGCAAGGAACCAGCAGTCTGCATTCAATTGAATCAGATCTGTAAAACTGATGCACACGCAACACTCAGGTTCTGGAACAGGACTGCAGTCCAGAAGTGGACGAACAACCAGAACTTTACACCAGAGTTTACAGCTGGTGAACGCGAAGAAGAAGAAGAATAATTTATTATGAACGTACGAAATACAGAAAGGGTTTGTGATTTATAGTGTGTGTGTGTGTGCGTGCTTTGCATGCGCATGTGTATAGCATTGTTTGTGTGATTAATTCAATTAACAGCCATCCGAATATGGGACACAGCTTTTCATTATTTTAAAGCCCCCCTCCCCCTTCGGCTGTTGTCGGGGACTCTAATATAACCTAATAGCTGAACATGCTTTCTATGACTTGCGCCTGGGCAATTCTCATCCAAATGGTAGCACTTTGTGTCATCAGGTGTTTATCACTCGGTGTACGGTCCTGGTGGGGTCAAACTTCATTCATTTGTGTGATTAACTGAGCAAATTCACATACATACACACAGGCACACAATGTGTCTTGTCTTTAAATATATTCACACCACTGCTCTTCTATTTAAGATTTTATCATGTTGCATATATTTCGGGTCTATGAGCGTAAGGATTTTATAGCTGCATGGCCAGTGGTGTATTTTTGCCACCAACAGAAAAAGAATCCCCAGCCTTACAGAGAAGTTGAACCTGGGTTCCCCGCATAAGAGCCCTGCGTTCTTAAGTGTTCTGCCAGCCTCTACTCATTTCAAAGATAATAAATATAACATTTATGCTGTCTTCTTTCATGGACACATTTTATATTAACCATTTGGGTCTGATTTATAAGTTTAACTGCCTCTGTCCCATTGTGTCTCTGTTTAACTCTTAAGGACCTAAGTATTTATTAGTATTAATCTCAATTGCATGGGAATGAATGAGTGAAAGTAATAACTGCTTGGGACTGGAAGGGCGAAGCTGTTGACCTGACCACAGTATGCTTATCATTCTTCTATAAAAACACATCCCAATTAGCCACAACATGAAGAGGTTTACTTAGCACCTTCACTTAATAAATTTATGATGGGGTCTCTGTGGCAAAATGGTCAAGCCATTTCCCATGTGCTCTTAAGGTCCTTGGTTTGTTTCACGGATGTGCTGTTCGGTTCAAGGGTGCGATTTTTTTCGGAGATCGTCGTAGGAGTCACAGAGTTCGTGCCCTGTGTGGCGCTCTTGGCAAGCGGCTAGCCATTCTGCAATCCTCTCGACTTTAACCCTAAACTTATGAGACCATGGTGCCACTATGGCATCTCAAGCTTAAAAGTATTTTTCAAAGGTATAAAGGTCCTTTTTTAAGGCCTTTAGGCGTATTGAGAATATAGGGCTAGGTCTATATTTTTATAGACCAATCGGCACTTGGTGGGTGATGTAGTCAGCATTATGTTGGCCACCTTTACTTCCCAGGACTGCACCTGGTACCACTCAAGGCTGGGTCGACCTGGGAGTCTAGGTCATTTCTGAAAAAAGGCTGGCTCTCTCAGAATGCGAACCCATGACCTTCTGATCCGCAGGCAGGTGTCTAGCCACCAATGCCACGGCACTCCCTTTCAGAGGTATAAATTACACTAAACAGATGGACTGGTCTTTTACTTCAATGCAATAATGATTTTACGATATTACGATACAAAATATTCATGAGGTACATACATGTAACTGAATGACAATTACTACTGCAATTTTATAAACAAATTTTAAAACACATAATAAATTAACAAACCTGTTCCGCCACCTCTGAGGAAGGTTAGAGCAATGAAAATCATAATGTAGTCCCATCGGAATTCAAGTTTCTGTTGTGGATCAACTCGACTGTACGTCAGACTGTTCACTGAAAGTAGTTAATGCAACTAACATTAATTACCACGGCAAAGTTAGTCAACATCAAGACTGAAAATGAAGTCACCTGATCTGCCACTCAACTGTCCTTTGCGCTCAGTAATATTTTTCAGCCCCAGCAATCTCAAACTTTAAATGCTAGAATGATATAACTGTTCTGAGGTCGTCTTTTTTTCTTTTGCCATGATTTTTATTCTCAACTATTAAAAAAACAAAAAGTAAAAAGTAAAGGACCCCTTTTAGACACCTTCAAGCAAACTGAGCATATAGGGCTAGACCAATATTTTACAGACCAATCAGCACTCTATGGGTGATGTGGTCAACATCCCACTAAATGCCTTTACTTCCCAGGACTTTACCTAGTACCCATTTAACACCAAGTCTATCTGACAGCCTAAGTCATTTTTGGAAAAAGTCAAACTCCACTAGGACCTCAAAAAAAAAAAAAAGACCTTCAGATCTGAAGAGGGTTTCTAGCTGCCACACTCCGGCGGCTCCCTCTCCAATATTTTAATTATATAAAAAGCTAACAAGAGGACTGGACTGGAACAAAGCCAGAAAGAAAACTGCTGATAGAGACGTCTGGCGATCTCTCTGGCAAACCTCTACACCCCAAGGTAGAGGAGGAGCGACTAAGTAAGTAAGCAAACAAAAGAAAATTAACAATAAAGGATGCTTATCTTGCTACAGGGTTGAATAAAGTGAGGACAATTTTCTTCAGAGGAATGCAATAATGTCAGACACTCTTGTCATCCCTGGGTAGTCAACTGGATGCTGATTCATCTTGGATATAGTAATATAAACAGAAAAAAAAAACAGTGTTTAAAACTGTAACAGGTCTTTCTTAATCTGCCTCTTGTCCTCTTTTCTCTCTACTGAGCATTGTAGTATTGTTTCTGAGAAGTCGTTAGATCTTATTTCATGTCCGTACCATTGCATTTGCGTCTTTTCAATGCAGTAAGAAGAGGTGTATATTTGCCAGTGTGTTAGGTAATCATTTGGCAAACCTCATTATTTGTAATGTATATACATACATACATACACACAGAGACACACCCATACATACATACACACACAGACACACATACATATATAAATACACATTATTACATACATATAGACAGACACAAATAGATGGATGGACGGACAAACAGGCAGACAGATAAGGAGAGAGAGAAGGGGAGAGAGTGTGAGAGAGGGGAGGGGGGTGGTAAAAGTTACAGCCCATCCAGCTACTTTTGCTTTTGATGACCAAAATGTCACAATTATGATAAGAAACATTTATACATGGTATGTAGATATCGTATGGCTTTAAAAAAAAAAAGGGCAACTTCAGTTAAAAACACAAAAGAGTTAAGTATACAAATCAGCGACCTGCCAGTAAAACTTACCAATATCTTTACTGTAAATGGGGACAAAAACATTCACAGCTCTGCCTAGACCAAGGATGATGAGGCAAACAAACACTGTCACTTGCAGAAACATATTACCCTTCGGCCATACATAAGGTAACATCATTCGCATTTTCGTCATTACATTGCGCCAAGTTGACTGATTTCGATTTCTGTTGCCTGACTGAAAATAAATTCACAGAGAAGCAATGAATATAATAGCCATGGTAAATATGATAAATGGACTGATAAGAAGCATTTACAAAAAAGCAAAAATATATACGGCCATGGCAAATATGACGTATGGACTGATAAAAAACATTTACACAAAAGCAATAAATATAACATCCATGAAAAATATGATGTATCATCAACATCATCATTATCACGTGCCATGCCAACTGGCAAGGGCGATCATATCTCTCCACAATCTTCGATCTTCAACAGCATGTATCAGTTTGTATGTTGACACGCCTCCATGCCAAAACAAAAAGCTGTCAAGAATAATCTCCCTGTATCTTGTTCCACAGATCTTTTCTGTGGTAACATGTTCCACTTTCCTTCTTCTAATAACATGACCAAAAAATTATGACTGTCTCTTTTTTATGTTTGTGATATGTTGTCTTTGCATCCTCACCTCTTTCAAAACATCTGGGTTTATCTGGCTGTTCAAGGAACTACTCAGAATTCTTCTGTAAAACTACATCTGCAAGATCTTAAGAAATTGCTTGACTTGCTTATTATTTGTCCGGAATAGACAGTTATATGTTCAAACTGGTTCTATTTAGCATGACAGAACTACTTTCCTAACCTCCAGTGACTTTGATTTGATGGACTGATAAAAAGACACATAATCAAGTGATACAGCTAAAGTGGCAAAGTGTTTAATCTGCTTGCCTGCCGAGACCGTGGTCCGTTTCAATCCCTAGAAAGTGGCAACATACTTTGTCTGACCAGTAGAGTTCTGGGGCTGGCCCAGCCTCATTAAGAAACAAGCACCAGACAATTCTCTCAGATTTAACCAGGAAGCAAAGGCAATGAGGAATGGAACTGGCAACCCCATCGCATAGGCCATGGCCTAAAATTTCTGAAGAATTAACACTTCACATCCTAATAGCAGTATCTGCTAGGGGACTACCTTTATTATAATTTTTTTTAACCAAAGTGGGGCATTTATTATTTGGTCTTTATGCAACATCATAAAAGCATCACCTTGTTAACTAAAAGCATAAATTATACTTTATAAATAATCCAAATTAAAAAACATACACACACACATATATACACACACACACCCATAATACTTTGCTCAGTAACAGAAGTTACATTTTAACAATGAACATGCTTGTAACAATTTTATAAACACACTAATCTAAAACTAAGGTTTACAAAATATTCACATGATCTTAGCGACAACACTTGACAGTGACAATTGAAACAACCAGCACCCCTGTATACACACATCTACTGACAGTGACCAAACAAAAAAAGTATCCTAAATACAGCGGCACTGACTCCAGTTAATTAATTTATAAATCAAAAATATGTTCTCCATTATATATAGAGATATTTAAAAAAAAAATTACAATTTACTTAACTTCAATTTGAGAAAATCATGTGCACAGATGACAAGGAAATTCAGTCAAAAATGCCTGCAGCAAAATTTTAATTAAAAAAAATATATTTTATTTTCAAACCTTTAGGCATACTGCGGACATTGTACTATGCTAATATCTTTACTATTTAATAGGAAATAGAGGTGGATGTTGATAGTGATCATATGTTATTTGATTATCAAAACTATATCCTCAGTATGCCTTAATAATTCTTCTTCTTCTTTTTTCAATCGTTCGCTTTAAATAGATTATCAATATCAACAATGTTGTCTCTAGTATGAACTTTACTATGTCTTTTGTAATTCACTCAGTGAGCAGTAAAGTTCGACTTGCACTGATGTTTCTCTTGGCAAAAAGTTGTATTTGGGACAGTCTTGGAGGACATAATCTGTTGTCTCTGGTGCCAATCCACATGTATTCATAGCTTATTCACCGATTTTAAATTTTGTATACATGTGGCAGCGAAGTCGATCGTGTCCTGTTCTAAGGCATAGAATAATGACTTGCACTGGTCTTTCAGTGAAATGGTAATCGTCTTGTGCTGGTTTGGGTGGCTTTCTGATTGATTAAATTTTTTTTTTTTTTTGCTGATAATAAACTCGTACGCCAGGTTGTTCTTCATTTATACCTTCCTTAGCTGGTTTATCAGCTCTTTCCTTTCCGGAAACTCCACAGTAGGATGGTATCCACTGCATAGTTATCTTACACCGACTACTTAGTTTGGAGAGTAGTGTTCGTATACCAGGTAGTTTGTCCAGATTGGAGTGCCTGAAGCACCGCTCTTGCATCTGTCAGAAATACCACAGGTTGTGAAATATGACGTATATCTTAATAATTATAAAAACATAGCTACAATACTGTTGAGAGAAGAACTATACACAACGTTTACAAGTTTTGTAATGGCACAAACCTCCTCATCAGAAATAAGACCATAAGCTGACCTCTGTACGGCAGGTCCAATGAAACCCAGCACCAGCAAAGCAAAAACTGTGAGATAGCGCAGAATGAACAAACCCAGCTCCACCCTGTCTTTCTCACTGAAACATTTTTGATGAAGGTCTGCAGTTAACATACATCACAAATAAGGGATATATTTTTCCAACATTACAAAATACCACATTCTTATAAAAACTGGAAGGAAAAGTTAAAGGCAAGCAAGTAAGCATGAGGCAGGCAGCAATTCAAGTGGGAGGAAAACATCAATATATGGATACAGCAGACAGTATACAACCAGTTAGATCAAAGTGGTAAAGAAAGACTGCAGTAATAGGTATTAAAATATTATCTGCTTGTGGTCATTAAAACTTCTTGTTACTTCCCATTAAAACTTATTGTTACTTCTCATTAAAACTTCTTGTTACTTCACATTAAAACTTCTTGTTACTTCTCATTAAAACTTCTTGTTACTTCCCATTAAAACTTCTGGTTACTTCTCATTAAAACTTCATGTTACTTCTCATTAAAACTTCTTGTTACTTCTCATTAAAACTTCTCGTTACTTCACATTAAAACTTTCTGTTACTTCAAATTCGCATCATTCTAGAATCATTCTAGGCCCCCCCCCCCCCCCCCCCCTTTCCCCTACAAACACACACACAATATTTTGACAAATGTAGAAGAAAAGAGCTTAATCTTAGCCAGCTACATTTCACTCCAATCTGACGTTAGACACTCACATGTTTTCAAACATGACAGTGCATTAAATTTCCAGATCACAAAAATCCTCCACTTACAAAATATCCATCTAACAAATTACTTTTCGACTTTATTCAAAACCTATTATCTCCAATTATGACACCTTCTCAATATTCCGTTTGTGCAATCTCTGTTTTTCTGGCAAATAATGTTAACAGATTAATATGCTTGAAACTTACTCTTTCAAGTGCCACCACCATGTTGGGTTCTCCCATGATACAAACATCAGATTCTCCCTCACAAATAACAAGCCCCAGAACAGCAGTAACACAAGACCTTGGCCCCTGGTAGGAATACTGGGCAGCATGCTTCGCCTTTCCATCGCTAAGAGCCAAAGTGAGGTCACACATGCAGCAATAAGGGCACAAGCTTGCAGAACCTGTTTAAGAGAAAGATAAATATAACAATTTAAAAATACAAATTACGTGACAGCTTTAAACAACATACACAGAAACAAAAGAAGTTCCAGTCATAAGCCTTCATAGGCATACAACAATTAAAAACAAGAAGCAACATAAAATAGGAAATAATGCTGAATTTTCATTACAGAAAGTTAAAAAAAGTAAGTTTTCATAGGAAAAATAAACACATCACCAATGCTATTACAGGCATAACTCTAGCTGTGCTTACATACATTCTTCAGCAGTTGAGAACATGCAGCAAAATGTTTTTTCAAAACAATGGTAGTCATGAAGAACCATACAAACAAAAATGGCTTCAATAAAGGAAATGAAATACAAACTTATGGGACAACCTGTATAAGATCTAATAGGCTTCTTCACCTCTCACGAAAAGGAAATTCAAACAGTGTTCAAACCCATAACCAACAACACTGGCAAAAGCTGTGATGTTTCAACTTACAATGAAACTGTAAAGAACTGAATCAAAGTTTATACTATTTTTTTCCCCGAGATGTTTACAATGTGGATCCAAAGGTTGTGGTTTCAAATCCGAACTGACTTTTCTTCTTCAAAAATGATCATGGCTCCCAGGTCACCCCAGTCTTAAAATGGATACCAGGAAAAGTCCAGGGAAGTAAAGGTGGTCATGTGATGCTGCCACATCACCCACCAAGTCGATAAAATATAGGTCTAGCCTTATATGCCCAGTACACCTTTAGGTCTGGAAAAGGGCTCCCTTTTTTTTCACTTCTAGATGTTAATGAGTTGAAAACAGTCTTGTAGTGGTCTAATGTTAATTTGTTTGTTTGTTTGCGTTCACCAGCGGTGAATTCTAGTTAAAAATCTTGGTCATTTTTCCATTTGTACTTTGTGCCAGAACTTGAGTTTTGCGCGTACATCCTTTTTATTGTCTTTTTAAAAAAAAATGTGGATTAGGTTATTGTTGTCTTGCAGGCAGATGTACACTGACTTGGAAGTACGGTGTTTGGATGACAGTAGGAGAGTCACACCGTCTGCAGCTTCACCACGCGATTAATATTCTCAAAGGCAGCAGTGGGTACTTAAGCCAACCTCACTGTCGAGATGGCACACAATTTTAATGTAATTCAACAAAGTGAACGACACAAAAATAACAGTGATTGACAAGTACAACAACTTACCTGATAACCAAGCAAATGTCTGTCATGTAGGTACACATCATAAAGAATCATGTGTATCAAAGCCTCTAATATCAGCAGGTCAGTCAGTAAAACCTGGTGAACAAACAACAAGAAATACAAAAGATAAAGTTATGTCATACGACAGTATACTCTTGAGGATCTACCAATTTAGTGGATAAGCAGGATTACTGCTTTAAGTCATGGCAAGTTATTTACTTCTGGCTACGGTTGCCATTGCATCTTCTCCCATTTGTGGACTGAAAGTATACAGTTTCATCACCAGCTACTGAGCTGAATGTAAGGTGTGACACTATGAGCTGCAAACCTTGCTTGAAATACTTTTTGACTCTGCCCAAAGTAGTCTGTGTTGTGAACTAAAGATTCAGAAAGTGGTCTGTTGGTTCCTTATGCGATTAACTGCTGCTGCAACTGCTGCTTACACTGACGAAGAACTGCCTGCTGTTCAAGCGCCGGACTGTTTGCTCTGCCAGACTGCAGTCTGTGTCAGTTTTCTCACAGGTACAACAATGGGTATACTGTGTGGTTTTTCCTTGGCAGAGGAATGGAGCTGCTATGGTGTGACCTGTTTGCTGTGAAGCTGGAACTGTGATTACCTGATTACCTTGAAGATCTCCATGTCTATGTAGTCAACCTGTCTTGTGTCCTGAAGGTCTTCCTCTTCTGACCTTTAGCCCATGATGACACACGGGTCCCCATCAAACTCATGCTAGTGATCTTATCCATTTCCATCATGTGTAGTTCACCCTATGTTCTTCCTATCTTTTTGTCACATGATTATCCAATTCTTTTCTCAAGTTTTTATTTTTTAAATATGCCTTTATTCCTTTGACCCTCTTGGTTCCAGTGCAAAAACATTTTCGCTATATAGCTATCAGGCTTTCTCACTGGGTATCTTTTTTCAAAGCAGCATCCTTTTCTCACCTCAGGGTGCTTTTACTTCTTTCCAAAAAAGCTCCACATTAGTGATTTTGTAATACAATTTAATTCTATTCTCAGAAGCCTTAGTTAGTTAATATTTGTATTGTATTAATAATTATTTTAGTTGCTCTCCACGTTTCTGCTCCAGATAGCAGTACTAATCTGACATTCTTCTTCTTCTTTATTCTTCAGCATTACGAGCCCATGAAGTTTTGTGACTGGTCTTCTCTTTAAAGTTGGTAATCCCAATGTTAGTAGGTCTGAGTTCTGCCTGTATACTATTTCTTCACTGTCTTCAAGGTCTGCCTTGTGGTCTACTCTCCTACAACTCTGGAGTATGCAGTGTTTGTCTCCCTGTTATCTGCCATTCTCTCTATAATATCAGCCTTACAGCCATGGTTCCTAAGTCTATGCCACTTTGAGATGGGCTTGACTTGTGTATTCTGTGGGTCACTGAAAGACTATTAATTTATTTTTTTCAGCTCTTAAGAGAGAAACTAGCTGGTCCTACCTCTGTTATGATACTTGGAACCCCCATACACAATGCGCACAAAGTCTCCATGTGGGTTCTGGGGCCCTATTATAGGGAAAACAAGAATAGACCCACTGCCTACCCAAAAGCATGTTGTAAGAGTCGACTAATTTGGAGCTTCCTTCAAAGTTGGAGTACAAATGCCTGAGAGGCAAGGAACCAGCAGTCTGCCTACAAATGAGTCAGATTTGTAAAATGGATGCACATGCAACACTCAGGTTCTGGAACAGGACTGCAGTCCAGAAATGGATGAACAACCAGAACTTTCCACCAGAGTTAACAGCTGGTGAATGTGAAGAAGAAGAAAAAATTCGCTCAAATGGGCAATCTTGCGTTTTTTTATACATCATCTCAACACAGCAAAGTATAAGAAAATCAAGTTGAGATTATGTTCACATAGAAAAAACAAATCAATATACAGGATTATCAAAATGAAATATCAACAATATAAAACTACACTTGCCTGCACAGTGTAACCCCATGACTTTGACACCCGTTGTGCATCAATCAAAATGGCATACTTGCTAAATAGGACACTCTGAATTATACCACAGATGAATATAAACAAAAATAAGATTGTGGATGTTGTGGATTCATAAAAGCAACGATCAAAACCTCTGTTGACCCAGGCATGGTCCCACTGTGTTCCATTTTTACAAAACAACATTTTACTCTTCAGAAAATCAAAGTAGCACGAAATATTTTCTGGGATCAGTTCTAGAGATCGTCAGGTGAAGAACATCTACAAGCACAGCTTACAGTATTCACTGAAAATATAAAACAAAAAAATTAACTTTTAAAAAAGTCAGATCTTATAATAAAATTACATTCAATTATCATATTTTCATAAAGTGGTATTAATTTTGTCCGGTATAATTGGAGTCATACATTGCAAACAACGTCTTGCATTGGTTTTGACAGTAGTACAGAGAGCTGACTGTTCAAAAAGAAGTGGTAAACTTAAGGTTAGTTGTGTATCCTTTACAGGACATTGCAGAACCAACCCCAACAGCCCCTGGCCGTTGTGTGGTTTTTCTAGGCAAATTTACGTCCAGTAGTTTGCCTTTGCTTTCTGGACGGTCGGCTCTCTTGATACCCCGGTCGAAACCAGCGCAAGGTGTATGGCCCGCAGCTGGGATCGAACCTGGCATCCCGGCATTACGAAGTGTTTGCATCGACTTAACCACAGAGCCGACAGTGGTAAACTACTGAACATAAAATTTGCCTAGAAAAAAACACAAGAAATGTTGAGGTGGTTCTGCAACACCTTGTAAAGAATATGCAACTAACTTTAACACTGAAATAAATGTATTTCTTTGTGCTTTGATATAGAGTACGAAGTTTAACAATGTTAAAAATTATGTTAAAATAAAAAGTTAAAAAAAAAAATCAGTGGTGAATTAGGTATCCAATGCTAAACTCATATTCTTTATAGACCAGCAGGCAATCGGTGGGTGTGGACAACAACCTGTCAGCCACTTTTTATTTATCAGGACTTTCTGGTATTAATTTTTTACATTTGATTGACCTGGAGTCAAGTTCAGTTTTGAAAAAACAGCTAAATGCAGATTTGAACCCTAGACCTATTGGCCTGCAGGCAAGCATCTAATCATTATGCTACGATGGATCCCTTGAGGCAGAATGGTTCACATATTTCTCCAAAAGTCAATCTTGATATACTTCTTTGGTGACAAAGACGATGATGAGTTTCCTAGAGTGAATCATGCTGTAGTTTTGCCTTGCTTTCCACATCAACATGGCTTTAAATTACATCCTCAGTCGTCAGCAATCTGTTCAGTTGCTAGGATAAGTAAGTAACCTCTCAGTCGTCAGCAATCTGTTCAGTTGCTAGGATAAGTAAGTAACCTCTCAGGCGTCAGCAATCTGTTCAGTTGCTAGGATAAGTAGGTAACCTCTCAGTCGTCAGCAAGCTGTTTAGTTGCTAGGATAAGTAAGTAGCCTCTCAGTCGTCAGCAATCTGTTCAGTTGCTAGGATAAGTAAGTAACCTCTTAACCGTCAGCAATCTGTTCAGTTGCTAGGATAAGTAAGTAACCTCTTAACCGTCAGCAATCTGTTCAGTAGCTAGGATAAGTAAGTAACCTCTTAACCGTCAGCAAACTGTTCAGTTTCTAGGATAAGTAAGTAACCTCTCAGTCGTCAGTAATTAGTTCAGTTGCTAGGATAAGTAGGTAAACTCAGTTGTCAGAATGCTGTTCAGTTGCTAGGATAAGTAAGTAACCTCTCAGTCGTCAGCGAGCTGTTCAGTTGCTAGGATAAGTAAGTAACCTCTTAACCGTCAGCAAGCTGTTCAGTTGCTAGGATAAGTAAGTAACCTCTCAGTCGTCAGCAAGCTGATCAGTTTAGGGCTGTACCGAATATTTGCTTCGTATTCGCTTCGGGGCCGAATAGTGGACATAATAACTATTCGGTATTCGGCCGAATAGTTGCGGTCGGGCCGAAAATGAATAGTGGTTACCTTACTCCCGTTTCTGAACTAGTGGCAAATGAACATATCAAGATTTGCCACCTTGGTTCATAATGTCAAGCGTTATCTTTGTGCACCACCCACGAGCGTACCATGTGAACGTCTGTTTAGTACAGCTGGAAATACCTTCAGTGAGACAAGAAGCTGCCTTATTGCTGACAACATGGAATGATATTTTTTTTTTCCGAAAGTTAATGTCGCTTTTATGGATTAACTAAGCTGTCAATGACAATTTACAAGTTTAGTTACTTGTTTTAAAACTTAGAATACTTTCACTCCTAGGTATTAGTTACCACAGACTGATTGACTGAAGGATGCAAAACATGAAATGTCTTTAAATGTTTACTATTCTGTAGTACATTTTGTGAAGTAAAATTTCGGCGTCCATTTGACATTATTGATGTTTTTTAGTTTAGATCTATTTTATACACTATTCAAAAATGGAAGAATGGGCCTCAGTTTGAATAGTGGGAAGACAGAAGTAATGGAGGTATCAAAGAAAATTATTCCTAAATGTGTAATAAAAGTCAATGTTTTTATTTTTGGACAAGTACAGAAATTTAAGTATCTTGGCACATGGATACACATCAGATGGAAGATGCATTACTGAAATAAGAAACCGAATGGGACAGGCAAAAACTGCATTTTATAAAATGAAAAACATCTTGTGCAATATATCTTTGTCATTGAAGGTTAGAAAAAGAATTCTTGCTGGCTGCATACATCCAGTTTTAACATATGACTGTGAGTCTTGCACAATCGGTAGGCAGGTCAAACAATTTCTTGAGGCCTCAGAAATGTGGTTTTACAGAAGAATGCGTAAAATACGTTGGACAGCAAAAAAAAAAAAAAAAAAAAAAGCAGCCAAGAGTTTTGACAGAGGCGGGAGCCCGAAGACAAATACTCACAGACATCAGAAGGAGACAGTCATCATTTTTCAGCCATGTTATAAGATGACGAAAAATGGAACATGTGGTGACCACTGGAAAGATCTGTGGAAGGAGGGATAGAGGAAGACACGAGAGAAGATTCTTTACAGTCTTGTTGCATGACATGGAGGTGTGTTAGCACACGAACTAATACATGCTGCAGGAGATCGCAGATTGTGGCGAGGCACAATCGCCCATGCCAGTTGACAAAGCACCTGATGATGATGATTCACTATTCGTATTCGGCCGAATAGTTGGTCCAGCTATTCGTATTCGGCCGAATAGTGAAAATCACTATTCGGTACAGCCCTAGTTCAATTGCTAGGATAAGTAAGTAACCTCTCAGTCGTCAGCAATCTGTTCAGTTGCTAGGATAAGTAAGTAACCTCTCAGTCGTCAGCAATCTGTTCAGTTGCTAGGATAAGTTAGTAACCTACTTTGTGATACACCCACTTCCAGCACAAGGCACACTGAAAGTATGCATTGATCCTGACACTTGGTTCCCCAGCCCTTCATGTTTTTTTCATACTGATTTTTTCCTTGATCCTGACACTTGGTTCCCCAGCCCTTCATATTTTTTCATACTGGTGTTTTCCTTGATCCTGACACTTGGTTCCTCAGCCCCCTCATTTTTTTCATACTGTTGTTCCCTTGATGCTGACACCTGGTTCCCCAGCCCTTCATGTTTTTTTCATACTGGTGTTTCCCTTGACCCTGGCGCTTGGTTCCAGAGCCCTTCATTTTTTTCCCACACTGGTATTTCCCTTGATCTACTATTTTGGTAATAGTGTGATAAGGATGATATATCAACTAGCTAATTAACTAACTAATAAAAGTTTAATTTGTTTGTTAAATAGTTTTGTCAGTCACAACACTTAACATACTAAAACAAATGTTTGTCAACACTTTGCACTTTTTTTTTAAACACTTGTCCAATTAAAGGTGACCACAGCAACTGTCAGATGGGAGAAACAAAGCAATGAAATCACTAGTGTAATTACACACAAAGTGCACGCACAGATTTCTTGTGTTAAAAAAAATTAGTTGCGTATCTTTTACAGGACGTTGCAGAACCAACCCCAGCATTTTTTGGCTGTTGTGGTTTTTCTAGGAAAATTTTTACATTCAGTAGTTTGTCACTGCTTTCTGAAGGATTAGGTCTCGATACCACTGTCGAAACCCCCGACAGAAGAACCGTCTGCAGCTGGGATCGAACCCGGCACTTCGGCATTACCAAACATGTTAACAATGCCTAAGCCACAGACATGTATGATGTCATTAAATGTAAGAGTGTAAAAAAACAGACATCTTCTTCAGCATTCTGAGCCCTTGAGGATGACTGCTGCAATTATCATTTGCCTCCATCTGTCTCTGATACTGGCTCTTTCTTTCCAGTTGTTGACTCCAAGTATTTATAATTTCTAGGTCTGCCGATCCATTACACCTCTGCTGTCTTAACTCTTTGAGTCCCAGGAAACGCATCATGCGCTAATTGGTTACTACCTGGTGGCCCAATCGACTCTTAACAAGTGAAGGCTTTTAATTTACCACTGATCGGTAATTACACGCGAACCGCTCAATTTAGATTTCCTTTTCGGTTCTCAAGTGTGTAATGAACACATGTGGAGTGCATTCACTTAGGTCTGATGAGATTTTAAGGCTTTAATCTATATTTGTGTGTCTACTACGTTACCAAACAATTCTCTGAAAACAATATGTCTGATCAGTCATCGTCTTCATGCCCAGCAAAGCGATTTACTGAATAGAAGCATCCAATTTAATAAAACAGTGGATCGATCAAAGTGATGTGAGTTGAAAACAGGGGCGCTCAAAAACAACATGGAGACAAACGATGGAAAGTGAACTGAGTGCGGCATCTTTGACATGGAAAACTGCACTGAAGATTGCACAGGACAGGAAAGCATGGAAAGTCCTCTCTGAAGCCTCATGTGCCACTAGGCATAATGAGAACTGATGATGATGATGATGTGGAGTTGGATAATGATAGTAGCGACGTGGAATTTCCCCAACCCATTGACGGGTTAAGTTCTGATGAGGAACATGTGCGTAATGTATCTCCTGCTAAGAAAACAACACTGACTAATTCTGCCATGGCAACACAAGAGAATAGTGGTGCTGAAGATCCCTGTAACGTGACACCAGCTAGTCAAATCATCAGTGCTTCTTGTACTAGTATAACTAGCAGTACATACCACAATGATAGTCGTGGTCAGTGGAGAGGTGCTACTGAG